CGTTAGAGTTGAACCTTTTGTGTCTCTCTGGCAAGATGTTCTGCTCCTGAATCAGGTGGGTGGATCTTGCCTCTAGCCTCTTTTCAGGGAGTTCTGCTGAAAGGTTCCATGCTGGGCCTGCACTTTGGGTTGAATGAGGATCTGTGGGCCCCAGGCAATCTCACTCACTTGCCAGGCCTGGGCTCTTGTTCTATCTCTCTCTTTTTTTTTAAGGCAGCAAAGATTGACTTTACTGAGTAGTATTGCCACAGGGAATGAGACTTGAGTGTGGATTTGAGCCCAGTTATACATTTTAAAAAATGCGGAAATTTATATCCAACAAACACAGTGAGGGCTCAGTGGCTGGAAAACTTCAAAGTTCAGGGAGTCCTACACTGAAGTAATAGGACAGCATCTAAGAAATGCTTTGCCACATCCTGCATATTTGTAGGGTTTCTTATCAATATAAAAACTGGTAGTGAAGTCTGGAGCTTTGATCAAAGGCTTTCCCACATTCTTCCCACTTGTAGGATGTCTCCCTAATATGAACTTTCTGGTGTTGAGTAAGGCTTGAGCTCTGATGAAAGGCTTTCCCACATTCTGCACATCTGTAAGTTTTCTCACCAGTGTGAACTCTCTGGTGTTGAATAAGCCTAGACCTTCAATCAAAGGCTTTGCCACATTCTGCAAATGTGTAGGGTTTCTTGCTAGTGTGAACTCTGGTGTTGAATGAGCCTGAGCTTTGATCAAAGGTTTTGCCACATTTTACACATTTGTAGGGTTTCTCCCCATTGTGAATTATCTGGTGTTGAAGAAGTCTGGAGCTTCAATCAAAGGTTTTCCCACACTCTTCACATTTGTAGGATCTCTCCCAAGTATGACCTCTCTGGTGTTGAATAAGGCTTGAGCTTCCAACAAAGGCTTTAACACACTCCTTACATTTATAGAGTCTCTCGCTAGTATGAAGTCTCTGGTGTTGAATAAGCCTAGACTTTCAATCAAAGGCTTTGCCACATTCTGTACACTTGTAGGATTTCTCACTAGTGTGAACTCTCTGGTGTTCAGAAAGGCTCAAATTTCCAACAAAGGTTTTGCCACATTTTACACATTTGTAGGGTTTTTCACCTGTATGAGCTCTCTGGTGTTGAATAAGTCTGGACCTTTGATCAAAAGCTTTGTCACATTCTTCACATCTATAGGGTTTCTCAACAGTATGAACTCTCTTGTGTTTAATAAATATGGATCTCTGACAAAAGGCTTTTCTACATTCTTCACACTTATAGGGTTTCTCACCAGTATAAACTCTCTGATGTTGAATAAGGCTTGAGCTTTCAGCAAAGGCTTTGCCACACTCTTTACACTTATAGGGTTTCTCTCCAGTGTGAGTTCTCTGGTGTCGAGTCAGGTGTGAGGACACTCTAAAGGCTTTGCCACATTCCTCACACTTGTACAGTTTCTCTCCTGTGTGTACTCTCTGGTGTTCAATAAAGTTTGAGCACAGACGAAAGGCTCTGCCACAGTCTTTACATGTGGCTTTTCTCCAGTATGACCCCTCTGGTGTTCAGTAAGTCTGGAGCTTTCAACAAAGGCTTTGCTACATTGTTCACATTTGTAGGGTTTCTCACCAGTATGGAGTCTCTGGTGTCTAGTAAATCTGCAGCTTTGGTTAAAGGCTTTACCACATTCCTCACATTTGTAGGGTTTCTCACTGATGTGCACTGTCATATGTTTTATAAGGGATGAGCCTCTACTAAAGGCCTTGCCACATTCTTTGCCATTTTGGGGTATCTCAACAGTATCAATTTTCTTATGTTCAATGTATTTTACATGAGACTTCACAAAAGCTGTGTGCGCTGCTTCATCCACTCCTACCTACCTGGAGGTGCAGCTGCTTTGTTTCGTGGCTGCACATTCCAGGGGTCCCTGTTTTGCTCCAGACAGGTGACCAGGTGGGGCTTAAAGACAGCGAGACCCAGGGAAAAAATGTTTCTGTAGTTCTGTAATGTCACATCCCTATACAAAGTTCGCTGAGCCAGGTCCAGGCATTTCCACTTCTCTAGAGAGAAATCAATGACCACATCTCTGAATGTCAACAGTGCCATTTTCGTGCCCTGATGTCCAGGCTCCTCCTCCTGGTGGTTCTCCCAGCACGCACAAGAGCCATTAGGGACTCCCGAGGAGGACACCAAACCAGAAACACAGTCTACTAATATGCTCTTAAATAATCATTCGGTCGCAGAAGAATCTGGAAAGAAACTTGAACATCTCTAAAATCAAATGCAATGCAAATACAACATGTCAGAGTCTGTGAGACAGAGAAAGGCATTCTAAGAGTGCAGTTTATAGATATGAAAGCCTGCACTAGAAAACAGCGGTATCAGATAAGCTGCCTAGTGGTGCATCTCAAGGTCCTAAAAAGTAGGAGCAATCCACACTCAAATGTAGCAGAAGTAAAGAAGCTATAAAAATCAGAGCATAAATTAATAAAATTAAGGGGGCAATATTGAGAATCGATGAATCAAACAGTTGGTGCTTTGAAATGATAAATTAACTTGATATACCCTTAGCTAAACTTGCCAAAAGAAAGAGAAGATTCATATCTATAAAATTAAAATAAAAGGTGAAAAAATAACAGATTCCTTAAAAATCCAGAGGCTCCATAGAAATAATTGTGAAAATCTATATTCCTATTTATCAGAGAATCTGAAAAAAGGGATAAATTTCTACACATATGACTTTACAACATTCAACCAAGACGATAGATATCAAAACCCCAAACAGTGTGAAAAGTGTGTATAAAGCAACATGAGACATTAGTCCTCATTTTGTCTTAAATTACAGACTAATGTTAATTGTTCTCAGAACTGGATTTTTTTTCCCTAAAACTTTGAACAATTTTTTCTTTTGGATTAAGTGAAGTACTGTTAGCTGGAGCCAGTGTGATATGGTGAGAGAGTTGTCAGACTGATGAAAGATGTGCAGCCTGATTTAAAACCAAACCTAGAACCCTTTTAAAGAACAATAAAACATATTTTATATGCTTAAAAAAAAGACAAACAGACCAGTAACCAGCAATGAAACAAATACAGTAATAAAAATGCTACCAACCAAGAAGGGCCCAGAATCTGATGGATTTGCCATGGATTTCACCAGAATTTAGAGATGAACTAAGGGAAATACTCCTCAGATTTTCCATACAGTTGAAATGGAAGGAATGCTTCCAATTCATTTCACAAAACCGGAATCATCTGATACTGAAACCAGATAAGAACTTAAAACCCTAACAGGCATCATCATTATTGATGAACACAGACACGGCATTAGCCCCACCAGCTGCATAGGACGGGAAACCCTTTAGGCTGCACTGGGCTGCCTGCTCGGGCTCACTTTCTGGGCCTGCTCCATCCCAATATGTGCTGATATTATGACTAGACCAGGCCAAGCACAACATTAAAAGTCTGTGTGTGTGTGTATGTGTGTGTGTGTGTGTGTGTGATTGGGGATTAAATCCAAAGGCCTTCACACTGAGCTACACCTCTAGCCTACCTTTAATAAAAACTTTCTTTTTTGGACACAGGGTTTGGCTATCTAGTTCAGCCTCGCCTTGCACTCAATATGTAGCCCAGACTGGCACTGGACTCAAGGTGATCCTCTTGTCTCACCTCCCAAATGTTGAGACTAGAGATGTGTGCCACCACACCTGTCTCTAGCACTTTAGCTACAAGTGGAGTCTCCTTCTGGGTTCTAAATTCCTTGAGACAACTGCGTAGAAGTTCACTGTAGGGGCTCGTGCTGGCATGAGGGGACTGCAGCCACCTGGGATCCTCACACAGTCATTATTACTGGGAACTCTGACCAGTTTGACCTATCCTCTCTCCAGCAAATCAAAGATCAAAAGAGCAGAACAATTAGAGTGGTGCATGGGGTACTGTATGAGACTTTATTATTATGCCCCGGAGATTCCTGTGCTGGCAATGTGCCTTTATCTTAGACATCAATGTTAGGTAAATCAGGCACACCCTGTCCTGTATAAAGCCACCACCTCCTGGCCCACTTTTTTTTCCCCTCAAGTCAGTGTTGGAACTACAGATTGAACCCAGTGCCTTCACACCAAGCTACTTCACAGTCCTTTCTTATTTTTTTGTTTTGAGACAGGGTCTCACTAAGTTGCCCAAGCAGGACTTGATCTTGCATTTCTTCTGCTTCAGCCTCCCAAGGTGCTGGGATTCCAGGTATGTGACACTGGACCTGACTACTGATGTTAAGGCCTGCTGGTTCCATACCACTGTTGGGAACTCCCCAGGAAGCCAAGTTCTCAATTCTCCTATGCCGAGGCTGGGTGTTACCGAGCATTTGTGGCCTATCTCCTATTTTCTTTCTCACTTTTTCTCTCACCATTTGCTCACCCATGTCCCATCACTGAGGTATATCTCCAGCTGCTTTTATTTTATTTTGAGACAGGATCTTGCTAAATTGCTCAGGCTGGCTTTGAATTTGTAATCCTCCTGCTTCAGTACACAAGGAATGCAGAAAAGACCAAAGTTTCTTTAGACTAGGAAATAATGGGGGACAATGGGAAAATTTCCAGGAGAACTGTGCAGTTAGGGTTAGACACTGGGATTTGCTTAGAGTTTGAAGACATGGAAAAAAGAGTAGGCACGAGTGTGAGCCTCTAAAAAAACATATTTTCCTAGTCATTTAGCACCTTACAGATCCAATCTTCCAGTATGGTTTAAACCCTGTTCACAATTGAAATTTTGACAAGACTACTTCCTCTGGCTTACAGAAGGCTTCCACTACAGATGAGTAGTTGATAAGGAAGTCTAGGTTTCTTATGGAGAAGCCAGGTTGGAACTCACCAGGAGAGGTTGAAGGGCCTACATGACAGGCCCCTTGCCTTGCTGTCTGTATTTAGCACAGGGTTTACAGGATCTCACCACACAGATCAGACGTATAGTGATCCTCCTGTTTTCAGCCTCCCCAGTGCTGGGATTATAGGGGTATGCCACCACGCTCAGTCTTATTCACAGTCTCAGCATGCCCCAGTGGTGGGGCTGGGGATCGAACTCTGGTCCCTGCATCTGCCTAAGCAGGCACTTTAATCCACTGAGCTATCTGACTGGCCCTTGCCTCACTGTCTGAGGCCTTACTTGGAGCAGGTGTCTTTACCTGAATTCTCTGGAGGGCTTTAACCCTTTTGTTCCAGGGCAGTCAATCCCTGGCCACGTAGCTGGATAACAGCCATGTGACACCAAACCCAGTGATCTATGTTTCTCTCAATTTCTCTCTCTCTCTCTCTCTCTCTCTCTCTCTCTCTCTCTCTCTCTCTCTCCTGGGGGTACCCCAGTTAGCCAGTCTGTCGTCAGTCCTGCTCAGTTTGAACAAAAGAAGTGTTCAATCACCTCTTGCTAGTTAAGAGGAAGGGGGCTGGAATGTTTCACCTCTGAGTACACACTAAATGAATGTGTGAGTGAAATACACAGCATAAATAACAGACTACTCTGTCTGTGTACCAAGACTGGGAAGAACTGGTTGAGGTGGCTATTGGGTCCTTAACTGAGGTTCTGCGGCAATCAACAGATAACACTACAGAGGTCTTGCACCCTCCTTAGCTAAGTTGAGCCTAATTCCCCACAAAAGGTGCAGTCAGGCGGACATCTGAATGGTTTCTCAATGAGGGGCACCCACCCTCTTTTTGTTGTACCATCATTTAAGGGCACACAACATACCATGTAGGGAGATAAAATGAAAACTAGTTAGTTAAAACCTACAGGGAGGGACTGGTGAGATGGTTCAGTGGTCTAAAGCACCTACTTAGAACAAGCTTAGCAAAGCACAGGAACTGCAGTTCAATTCCCCAGCACCACATGCCAGCCAGCCGCGCCCCCTGGTGTGCTGAGCTGGCCACACACACACACACACACACACACATAAATTAAAAAAATAATTTAAAAAAAAACAAACCCTACAGGAAAAAGGACTTTTAGAGAGTTAAAAGGAAAGCCAAACTACTCCCCACTTCTCAAAGAAAACAGAGGCCCATTCTTCCTGAGAACACCAACAACACCTTGGAGCCTGCGTCAGAAGCCACAGTTGCTGCCAACACCTATTGCTTCACTCCCCACTCCCAATTCGTCTATTTCTAGGCAGTTGAGCTGGCTCCAGCTGGCCATTGCCTGCGTTTGGCCACAGAGGTCCTCCCTCCAGAGCTCTGTGCTTGCCTACCTATCCGGGTTAGATGGCGTCCCTTACCGCTCACCTGAGATGATGGCTGACTATCCGTAATTTCTTCTGAGGTCCACATTTGACTGAGGAAAATTGGACTGTCAGCCCTGACAAATGAGTTGTGTCCTGTTGGGCCTGAGTAAATAGGACAGAAAAAGTTCAATCAAGTTGGGTCCGTAAGAGTCCATGATCATTACAAACCTGACTTATACCTTGCTTTCCTGGTAAACAATGGAACAGAACTCTGCCTTCAAAAGTTTCCACTGTCAAAAAGTTGCCATCA